TTTAGGGGTTTGGGGGTCTAGGGTTTAGGGGAATTGGGGTTTAGGGTTTAGGGGTTTAGGGTTGCAAGGGTTTAGAGCTTCAAGGGTTTAGGGCTTCAAGGGTCTAGGGTTTAGGGTTAAGGGCGGCCAGGAGCATAATTAAGTAGAAGTAGTAGTAGAAGTAGTAGTAGAAGTAGTAGTAGAAGTAGTAGTAGCAGTAGTAGTAGCAGCAGCAGCAGGAGTAGTACTAGTAGTAGTAGTAGTAGTAGTAGAGGTAGTAGAAGTAGTAGCTGCAGTAGCAGTAGCAAGACCACTTATATCCGTGCTTAGGGTTTTTGGTTGAGGGTCTTGCCTTTGCTGTGCCCATGAGCTTCGTCATGCTGCAGCATATTTTTCTTCTCACCCACTTCACAAGATCTCTCCCTCACTCGGCTGGGCATGTGAGGAAGCCACGACCTCAACATGCTTCTGCGCTTAAGGGTTTAGGGTCCTAAACTGCAAACATGGTAACATTCAGGCTCCCTAGGTGCAGACCACCGAGGAGATGTCTTCCACCCGCCCCAGGCCTAGCCACACAGGCAGGCACTGAAACATGGATCCGTGTAAAGACGGAACTTTGGGGGCTTCTAGCCTCTCTGCATGGGCGCTACGATGCAGCCGCACTGTTCACAAGGCGCTGCTGGTACTTGGAGGACCGAGCAACTAGGGTTACGAACAGCCGTAGTTATACTTCGGTCACTGAGCTATAGCTCCAGCTAATGAACTTATAACTGCCCCATGAACCGTAAAGTAGACCCGAAACTTTAAACCCTAAACTCCTAAACATCCCTTAAAGAACCTTGTAAGGAACCCTTCAGGTCACTACCCAGTAAGCCCTAAACCCCTAAACCCTAAGCCCCTAAACCCTAACACCTAAACCTTAACACCTAAACCCTAAAACCTAAACCCTTAACCCCAAAGCCCTAAACCCACTCTCGGGTTCCATGAGCACCTTAAGGTATGGGGCTGGGGACTTTGGCCAGCTACAGAAGAGAAAGTCTCATCGTACTCAACCGCATCCAAATACCGAGTTTAGGGCTTAGGGCTTAGGGTTCAGGGGTCATATAGGGTTTAGGATTTAGGGTTTAGGGTTTAGGGCTTAGGGTTCAGGGGTCATACACTAGTGCTCCAACATATGTCTACTGCGTCCTCTTCATGGTACGAAAGACGTCTCGCCACCCCAGAAGCCAGCTCACCCAGGTGTTTAAACTCGGAAGTACCTGCTGCTTCCCTAAACCCTAAACCCAGTTCGACTCTGCAACCTTGAGCTGAAACTGCTGCCCTATCTGGAATGTTTCGGGGTTGGGACGGTTGCGACGCAGTCATGGGGAAAAGCAAAACTGATGCCATCCTCGAGGCGGGCTGTAAATATAAAGGCCTCAATAATCTAATTACCAATACTATCTTGGGGTTCCTTATTATACTTACAGTATAAAGATCCCCAAAACCCTTTTTAAATTACTAAAGCCCTTATGTTATTCCGCCTAGGAGCTATCATTACGGTATTAACAAAGAGCCCCAAAACCCTGTTCTAATTATTAAGGCCCGTTTGTTATTCCACTAGGAGCTAAATCATGACTCTGAGATTCTAAGGTTGAAACCATAGGCCCCTAGCATGGGCCCTTAACCCTGGGATCCTTATACAACTACTAAATACTCTATATGTACACTTAAGGGTCCCTAGAAAGGCCTAAGGGTCCAAATCAAGAGCCCATACTTCTAACCTTAAAGACATGTGTCATGTCGAGGCCCCAAAGTTATTTGCAGAGAGGATCCTCTCCGTATCAAGCCTGTGCTACAGCAGCAGGTTTCATGTAAGGACGTTGATAATTAGAATAGGGTTTTGGGGGTATACTATACTATGATTACAATACCACCAAAATAGTATAGGTAATTATTTAGGCCCCCCCATATTATGAAACCTCCTGTCGTCCAGGAAGATGGCAGCTAGTTGGACAACTTCGTCCGTTCTTGCGTATGATTGTTCCCGACATTGACACACCTTTATCGAGCAGGCCAAAACAGCAGGTTCTTCTTGACTTCAGGCACTGGCTTGCTTGCTGAGCGGGCTTAAACTTTGCTCCCCAATGAGGCTACTCTTCATGCTAACCGCCTGGTATGCATCTTTCAGCCGAATTAACTTAGAAGAGCTCTCCTCTCGCGCAAAGCACCAAACGACGCAAATTCACGTGAATTACAAGAGCCTCATGTGACGTCTTTGTTCTAACGGAGTGCCACCACAACCAGCTTGTGGCCAGTTCTCTAAATTAGGGCCCCTTTTACGGTCCTCTTTTTAAAGGTGGGATTTTGGGGCCCAAGATACTCGAATTCTAATAAGGAACCCCCAAAATAATATAGGTAATTATTAAGGCCCCTAATTATAGCCCACTATAC